CTGACAGAGTTATTGAAGAAGGATCAATTTGAATGGGGTTGTAGACCTCAGATGGCGTTTGAACAATTGAAAACAACTATGATCAACGCTCCAGTTTTAGCATTACCAAACTTCAACGAAACCTTCATTGTGGAATCGGATGCTTTCGGGTACGATGTGGGGGCATTCGTAATGCAAGGGATGAATCCAATAGCCTACTTCAGCCATGGTTTATCAGACAGAGAACAAATAAAACCCATCTATGAGAGAGAGTTAATGGGAATTTTGCTAGCAATACAGAAATGGAGACAATATTTGATTGGAAGAAAGTTTTTGGTGCATACTGATCAAAAGAGTTTCAAATTTTTGTTAGAGCAAAGAGATGTATCTATGGATTATCAGAGATGGTTAACCAAGCTGCTTGGCTATGATTTTGAAATAATCTACAAACCAAGAGTGGATAATAAAGCAGCAGATGGATTATCAAGGATAGTTCAAGATACATCAGTTGCTAACACTACATCTCTCTTGTCTCTCACAGTTGCTACGAGTCTACAAATACAAGATATCCTTCATGAGATCGATAATGATGAACAACTACAAGCTCTGAAACAATAGGTATTGTCGGGTGAGTGTTCAAAAGCAGATTACTCAGTTATCGATGGCAGATTACGATGTAAAGGAAGGTTGCTGATACCCAGAAACTCGAAGTATATTTCCCTCATTTTGAAAACATTCCATAACGGAATCATTGGAGGACACTCAGGGGTACTAAAAACATTACGAAGAATTCAACAAGTTTTGTATTGGCCAAAGATGAATGTCGATGTACAGAAGTTTGTGGCAGAGTGTTTCATTTGTCAGACTCACAAGTATTCCACACTCTCACCAGCGGGTTTATTACAACCTTTACCTGTGCCACATAAGATTTGGGAAGATCTTTCTATGGATTTCATTGAAGGCTTACCCTTATCATTGGGCTATAATGTGATTCTGGTGGTTGTGGACCGCTTAAGAAAACTTGCACACTTCATTGGGTTAAAACACCCATTCAATGCCACAGATGTTGCTTCAGCATTCATCAAAGAAGTTGTAAGGCTTCATGGGTTTGCTGCATCGATTGTCTGTTATTTAAGCTCTTTTTGGAATGAACAGTTTAAAAGAGCGGGTACTACCTTGAAGTATAGCACTGCTTACTGCCCTCAAATGATGGTCAAACAGAGGTCCTTAACCGATGCTTGGAAACCTATCTTCATTGTTTAGCATTGTCTAATCCCAAATCATGGGCTAAATTTCTCGTTTGGTCAGAGTTGTGGTACAATACCAATATCATACTTCCCTCGGCACTACTCTTTTCCAAGTTGTATACAGAAGACCTCCTCCAAGTTTGCTGAGATTTGAACAGGGTTCAACAACTAACTTTGAGTTATAAAGTATGCTAAAGGAATGAGACTTGATGTTGAATCAGATCAAAGAGCGCCTTATTCTAGCTCAAGAGAGGATGAAAAACAATGCAGATAAACACAGAAGGGAACTTGAATTTAACGTTTGAGACAGAGTCTTTCAGAAACTCAGACCTTACCGGCAACAATCGGTCTCTCGCCGTGTTTGTACGAAGCTTGCTGCACGATATTACGGGCCGTTTGAAGTAGTTGCCCGTGTGGGAGCTGTTGCGTAACGCCTGAAACTTCCCTTAGACTCTGCAATCCATGACGTATTCCATGTGTCCCAGCTAATACCAGTCTAGGGTGACAATCACGTTATCTCTGAGTTACCACAGGCTTTTTTCGGATAGTGGGGCGGTTATAATTGAACCAGATGCTATCTTAGATACACGTTATGACAATGACGGCCATTTGGAGGCATTGATAAGCTGGACAAGACTTCATGAACATGAAAGATCGTGGGAAAGAGCATCAGTCTTGATTCAGCAATTTCCGCACTTGAAGCTTGAGGGCAAGTTTCGTCTTAGCGAGGGGGGTATTGATAAGCCTCTGAGAGCTTATATCAGTAAGCAGAAACAGAGTGAAGCTTCGCGTCAAGAGTCAACGGTTGCTGAGCTGGATGGAAGTCAAAGCTGAAGTCTGCTGAAGTGGAAGAACGACGAAGGTTGTTGGAGAGATAGTTAGGTGTATATAGATATTTTCTGTAATTCGGTTAGAAGTATCGAATTGTATTTCTTTTCTGGGATTGTTTGAGCTCTTGCTCTGCAATTAGGCGATTCTCAAGAGCTTGTTCTCGTGATTCGATTTCAGGTTGCTCGTTATCTGAGAGTCTCAGAAGCGATCAATCTTGTAAACTCTTGTTAAGTGAAATAAAGCATCTACGTTTCTTTTAACATCAAGCTTTTGTAATTTCTCTCCCGACTGAGAAAATCATCATTTGTCCGAGTAATATAACCATGTTTTTATCCATTTTACCCTTGGTTTTAAAACACTTTAATTATAAGTGTTCATCTCGGTTGTTAAGCATTTTATTATCAGGTTTTTATATTTGTAGTGTTAAAAGTTTTTTTAAGTTATCAAGGCAAAAACAATGCAAGCTGGAGCAAGAATCTTGTTTTGGATAGTTTCAAACTGTTAAACGTTCAGGATTTTATGGAGATTTTTCTCACCATCTGATCAAGCCCTTATTTGGAGACAATATAGAAGGATCAGCCACCTTCCATATGCAATTTGTTTGAAGATGATACGATGGTGAAATCTCAAAATACATCAATAACTAAAGCTCCATCAAGCTGTCGACATAAGCCAAATCGTAGAGAAACTACTCGTGGCCACGAAGGGGTGTGCCCACGGCCAGCCAGCGAGGCTTTCGAATAATTTTCCTTTTTCTACAAGGAGATCTAAAGGACTTTTGACGAGCTGAAGACCTATAATTTTGAATATTAGGTCTTTTATTTTTGTGTCTCATTAGTGCACCCAAAAACTAGATTAGCGATTTTAGTTCTTTTGTTCTTTGTTCTTAGATCTAGGGAAATGAAAATTTCTCTCTTGAACCCTTTTG